TTGAGGTGAGCACTCCTTACAGGACAGGGATTAGGATGTTAAATCTAAAAAGGGCTCTACAGGGTGATGAGGAGACAGTTTAGTGATGAGGCCTAGCAGAAATCAGATTAGCCCACGGATGGCTTGGATGAAGATGAGGAGAGACTTCAATGCTGTTCCGTGCCGGTTCCAGGGTAAATGTTGACTGAAGACCATTTTGTGTGGGGATTTGTATTAAAGCTAGGATTTTCCATTTTCTTCTTATTTTATCAGTGTGCACCCAAAGACAATTTGGTATAGCAGAAATTGCCATGGAGAAAATGGGAAATCCCACCTGAGATTAGGACCCTCCAGAACCCTTTGCACATTTTTTGAAGAGTGAGACACATTCATTCATTCATTCACTCAATCTGCGGACTTGTCATCGATTTCCCCCAAAATCCTAGTCCTTGCTTTCCAGGAGTCTGGCATTTCTGAGGGAAACTAAATCGGCAACACACACACACTGAGTTCTCACAGAGATGCTTCCAGAAGGGATTGTGCTTCTGCTGAAGCAGAGCAGCTGACAAACAATTATTGCAGGAGAGTAAAAACTCCCCCAGCTGGTGGACCAGACTGGATATATTTCCAGGTTGAAAGGATTTCCTCAGAATTGGTTAAGTAACGGAAACGCCCAGTAGGTTGGTGAGGTCCTATTAGCATCAACAGGTGGGGCTATCGAAGAGGCTGCAGCCCCTCTGAGTGCAAATCTGGGCCCCGACATGAAAAAATGTATCTTTTTAATTGAGAGTTGATGCAGATTATCACATCATTCCATAGTTCAATCATGTCTGGTAGTATTGCACAGCTGCTGCCACAATCAGTTTCCAAACTTTGATTTCCTCCCTGGACTCCTGGACATCTTCTCTCTGTTACCCACCATTTTTTCCCCTATACATTTCTTGCCCTCATTATTCCCAAAATTCGCTTTCCTCTTGGGTTCCTGGAATCAGCTCATTTTCCTTTTTTCCCCTCCCCCTCCCTTCCTCCTCCCCTCTCCCCCATGCACCCTTGATAATTTATAAATTATTATTGTATCTTATATTACACTGCCTGG